TTGGGGTTGTGGAAGAAATTGATAAAATAAGGAGGTGTATTATAGGGCAAGGTTCTCAAAACAATAGGAGTATTCGCTGGATTCACCGGGAAAAAAATCCTTGCTCCAAGAGATGGTGGTGGACTTGGATTAGGTTCTATTAGAGCTATGAACTTATCCTTGATGGCAAAATGGATTTGGAGACTAAGAAAAGATCAAAACTCACTATGGGCCCAGGTGGTTAGTGGGCTTCACAATTTAAATCAAAACCATCCAGACAAAATATCAAACAGGGTTTTAAATGGTGTATGGTGGAATATCTCAAAAAGTATTCACGAATTGGGAAAACTAAGCATAACCCCGTTGCAATCTAATACTTGTTGGGACTCAGACTTTGCAGATAAAAAATCTTTTGTGGTGGCTGAATTACTATTAAAGAATTGAACACGCTCCCTATTTTGTCTGTGACGGTGTTTTCTCATTGTCAGAGTTAATTCCGTTCAAGGTGTTGTGTTTTGTGTGGCGTGCAAGGCTTGGAAAGATCCCGAGTGCTATGGAGTTAAGCAAAAGGGGAGTACATATTAACTCACTGAATTGTTTGGCGTGTGGTAATAATAAGGAATGCTCGAACCACTTACTCGTTTCCTGTCTGATGGCGGAACAAGTGATAAATATGATTCTTAACTGGTGTGGCTTGGTGACTCAAAACTTCGATTATGTGAAGGAGATCGTGGCATTTGCGTGTAAACAGGGACAAAATCAAAAGGTGTTATGTGGTATTATTTTTAGTGCTTTATGGTGCATTTGGAGAGCCCGTAATGAATTGGTATTCAAAGGAGTCAAGACCTCGCCGGCGGCTATTGTTGATATAGCAAAATCTATGCCATGGTCTTCGTATGGTTGAAACATAGATCATCAAAGGGGAGTTTAGATTGGAAGTCTTGGATTTCTTCTCCTCTTAATTGCTTGTAAATATTTTTATTTTCTGTTCTTGTACTCCTTGTTATCACTAGTTGCTTGTTGGTGGTAACTTTTTAATATATTTGCCGGTTCCAGAAAAAGAAAGACTCGTCCAACCGAGGTCGTTTATTTGTATAATTGTATCTATGATTTTGACGAGATTGGCCATAATTTGAGTTATATATTAGATTTTTTTTTCTCCAACAGTACTATGATTAAAAAAGGAAAACATAAACAAACAAGAAAATTAAAGAAAATACATAAAAGGAGAACAAAGCAAAATAGAAGGGAGGATCAATTATCAATCATCATCATGTAAAAACAAAAAAAAGATTGTTAGCAACCATTTCGATTATCCGCTATCACACACCAACGAGTCTTTATGTGGCATACATTAAAAAGCATTAATAAAAAGTAAAACTTGTTCATAATACAATGAACAACAACAAATTAATACCCCTAAAACCCCTAGCTCACACGTCACCACTCGGATGGGCTCGGAAGCGGCTCGATATGGTCAAACATATCCATCGGAAAATCATCAATGAACGTATCCGGCGCCATCATCATCGGATCACCACTCTCTTGCCTCCCACAGCTCCCACCGCTTTCTCCTTCACCACCTGCAACACAAAACTTTCTGTAAATCAAACAAAAGAGATAATTCACCAAGATACTTAACTTCCAGCATGCATGAATACCTGGTGGGATGTAAGGGTATGGCACCATCTCCGAAGAACCACCTTGCCCAAAAACGGCGAAGAAATTAGGGTCCGCAAGTTGGGTGAAAATGTCGTGGTTTTCGAGCGGCGGCGGCGGTGGTGGTGATGGGAGTTCGACTTTAAGAGGCGGAGCATGAGGGAAAGGTGGTAGTAAAAGTGGTTGTGGTGGCACGTTGCAGGGGTATTGACAGAGTGGCTGGATGTCGTCATAGATAAGCAAGCTTGTGGCCGCCGTGGTTGGAGTACCGGTGGTGGGGGTGATAAGTTCCGGCAGTGGGACCATGTTGATTGGTTCACAGTAAGGCGAGGAGCAAGACAATGTTTTTGGTGACGTCACTGATGATTCTTCTGTTGAAGAACTTTGTTTCGGTGCCTGAAATCGTCAAACAAATGATTTTTATAATACGAAAATTAAATGGATTGAAATGAGATTTTTTACCTCAAAGGTGGGAACTTTATGGAGGGAAGGGGGTTCCCGGAGAGATTTGTGGGACTTTGGTGGTGGTGGTGGTGGCTGCGCCTGCGGTGGTGTTTGAAGAACTCGAGCCAATCTTTTCTGTCTGCTACTCCAGAAGTTCTTCACATCGTTATCTGTTCTTCCCGGCAAATACGTAGCGATTCTTGCCCATTTGTTCCCGAATTGCCCCTGTAGGTCTATCACTATCCTCTCTTCCTCTGAAGAAAACTTCACACCACTGATCACACACACAGATAGAAATCAGATGCATGTTCTTCATGTGTCAAAAAGAAAAAGAAAAACACAAAATTACAAGAAACCTTATCAAAATTTAATTTCAATTTATCAAAAGTTTATAAACGATGGGCGAACAACCATTTGAAATGAAGACAAAATATTGCATTCTTGCAACAGTAAAAGAAGAACACAATGAGTTCAAGTTCTTCATTGATAACAAGAAACCCATTTCTAAAAGAAGCACACAGACACAATATTAACCCAAAAACTCAGTATATCGACTGAAGTATACTCTATGAACACTCTCACATACAGACATAAACACAAACAGTTTGTGTGTGCAAAGTACAGAAGACAAAAACGAACGTTACCGATTACCATCATCGATTATCACTTCAATTTTCAAAATTCGCGCGACTAAAACTCAAAAAACAGATGGGGAATTGGATAAAACAGACGCGTTGTTGATGAATTTGAAAAGAGAAAGTTATCGAGGGTGGTACTTTTTGAGATTGGGTCTGAGTTTGTTGACCCAACGAAGACGACAAGATTTTCCAGTGCGTTGAAGAAGGCCTTTGGATCGAATGGAGCTCCAATCTCTGGGTCCGTATTTCTTGACATGCTTCATCAAAACTTCATCTTCTTCTGACTTCCATGGCCCTTTCTTTATCTCCCCCATTTCGTCATACATTCTTCCCCTTTCCATTGATTCTTCAATTTTCTCTCTCGCACACACTTCACACACTGCAACCCTTTTCTCTCTGTAAATTCAGTGAATTTGTCTGCAATCAGAGGGTGGGTGTATAGTGACGGTTAAGACGGTTATTGCCATGATCTCCGATATTCCCCCCTTTTTTCTCTCTTTCGAAAACATGGGTAGAATTTTACATTTTTGGTCCTCGAGATTATAAATAATACGTATTTTCCCTTGATTAAATAATCTAAAAACGTAAATGGTACTCAAATCTATTCGACCAAATTTGACCACCATTTATGAAATTACCAAAATGCCCATCTATGTTCTCGTCTGTCGTCACACTAAATACTGTATGGGTCGATACATAATATGTTACAGTTCAACATTTGGGTCGTTACCAATAAATTGATAACATCGACTTTTATACAAATTTAATTTTTAACGTAATTTGATGATGCGAAAAATTTTAATAAAAAATATTGTTTAAATAAAAAAGGTAATTATTGGATTTCATTATTTTACGCAAATCTATTTATTTCTGAGCAATTGTGGTTAAAAGGAAATTGATCTTGTTTACTTGGCGTGGTTGTATAATAAATGGAACTTGTATTTATGTGTTCATGTTGTATAAATCGGGTATTATCGACTTGTGATATACTTGAATATATTTTATTAATCATTAAATATTTAAAATAATTCTTAATAATATACAGTTGTTTGTAAATCATAATTAATCTTGTTAATGTATCTTTTACCCGACCATAATGTGTTTTCGATATAGCTTTCAAAAATTACTATTTTAAATGTTTTAGCCTTTTAGGCTATAAAAAAAGGTAATCTAAGTAAACATGGAAACAACGATAATGTGTATTCGATATAGTTAGCAGGTCACATATATAACTCATATAAACATGGTATCATCGATCAAAATAAAAAATAATAATAATTGAAAGTAGATGGTGTTACTCAAGAAAAAATGTTTTTATTACCATAGATATAAAAATCTAAAACTTCTTAATTTATATAGAAAATTTGTAAGTCTATTCTTTTTTTTTCTAGTTTAAGAAGAACTAATTACTATAGACAAAGAAACCGCTTACTGAATATACATTTTTTACTTTAGCATGCTAATTAATTAATTTAGGCAACTGCATCGGTACTGGTTTGATCTTTGCAATCACTTTATATTAATAATCATTAATAATAAAAATTGCAGCAAAAATATTACATTATACAAACTAAACATATATACACAAAACGTGCAATCACTTTTTTTTCTAGTTTAAGAAGAAATATTACATTATACAAACTAAACATATATATCTATTTATTAATGGACATTTTAGACAACTTGATCCTTAACCATTTACTTTTTTAGACAAAACGTGCAGATAAATATGAAAATTTAAAAAGTGTGCACGAAGATATAAAAAATGAAAAACATGAAGTAATAATAACACCCTAAGTAGTCTCAAAACATAAAGGAGAAAAGTCGGAGGACCACTTATGTAAGTTGATTAAGTGCGTGGTGAGTCACCTTTTTGTGCGGGAATACGTGGCCTGTATGTTTTGACTCTGAGACTTATGGCCGTGAAATTTACACATGTTTTATTACGTAAATGCTATTCTTTTATGGTTGTGAAATTTACACTGTTTAAATTAATATAAAAAAGTGTTCTTTATAACTTTATAAAATTCATTTGATATATAAATGAATAATCATTAAAATATCGTACATGGATTATACCATAATTTGCATGTTTAGTTTATTAACTTTTTTCCTTTAACTTTGGATTTTTTGCTACTTTGTACAAAACTACATCATTAATTTAAACTTGTTTAATATACAAAAGGATTATTCTTTTGACATCATTGAGAAATGAAAATCAATACATAACAATGTCATACAGATCTTAATCCGAATTGAAATTGAAACTCTCACGATGTAGTTGCTATACGAGTCCATGAGGACATCAACACACAATGCCTTAATAAGATATAATATGAAAAGTACACTGCCATAATAAGGAAACATTACATGGTACATTCCTATTTCTTGTATTTATCTCAATTTTTAATATGATAAGAATGTAACATGTATCATTGTAGGAAAGTCTTCGGCCATTTTATTAAGCTTATAAAAAGATAAAGGAACCATAACACAAAGATCCGATTATATACACCCGCCCGACCCGTTAATCTAGTCAAATTTTGGTTTTATTGCACCTTCAAACAACATCCAAAGAATCCGAGCCTTCCAACTTCCACCAAAAAGAAAGAAAGATTGATAACCCTCAAACTGTTATAACCTATATCTATCCCTGAAACCAGAAAAAAAAAAAAAAAAAAAAAAAAAAAATAAAAAAAAATTTAATCGGTTATTACAAGCAACAAGAAAACACCAAATGAATTTATATATACCTTTGTAGGAGCTTCAGATACTTTGTATGAATCAGCAGTAATGGAGTCGAGCCACAAACCAGGAAAAAGATTCTGCAAAAAAAGAAAAATCAGAAACCATTCAAATACAAGACACAATATTCTTGAGTGTCAATCAACAAATATTTTCAAGATTAGGTTTTTTAAAATCATGTAGAAACCATGATGCTTTTTTTTTTTTAATTTGCAGATGGATGAATTTCCCAAAATATAAAAAGGGAATGCCATGTGTTTGGGAAGAATGAATGGTTTTGGAGAAAAAGGGTTAACTATTGAAGTCTGTATATTTTGAAAACAAATGCAAATTATCTTTCAATCAATGGATTTGGGGAATCGGCAATTTGTGGAGAAATCAGTCAGTATCAGATCCCAGAAATGGTAAATTGAACGGATCATAACAATCCAAAAAAGAATCTTAAAATTGCAATTCATAGTTCATACGAAAAACTGGGATATGATAAGATCAACAGAAAAAGAGGAACTTACATTAAGTTGTCTCTGAATGGCCCTTGGTCTCTTCTTTGGCCTCCGAGACGGCTTTGATCCGGTCAACAAGAACACATCCTCTTCGATCTCACAACGGGAAAGCGGAATCGAAAACTTCTGCTTCTTCGACTTCCTCGGATCGCTGTTATTGTTAGTATTCAGTTCTGATAACTGTTTGTCGATATTAGTCTCGTGAGAAGTTTTAATCTCTTGCAATCGTGATGTGCCGATCTTCGGCGGGCCACCAGTAGATTGTTTGTGGTTCATCGGCGGTCTTCTCGGCCGCAAATTCCAGGTCTTCGGCAATGATTCATCTTCTGCTGATGCCGCTGCTTGCGGCGGAATGGAATCATCCATTGGTGTGGATGAGCGATTTTCTTCCGCGACGCCGTCGTGTTGCTTGCTGTTTTCCCGGAAACGAATAGAGATCTTGTTAGATCTTCTCCCTCTGTTATTGTTTTCAACATATTTCGTAGATGATTCGGACATTATTCGTTTATCCGTTTTTTCCATAAACTGTGAAGCATCGTAGTTTAGATTAGCCTCGAACTCTAAATCACGCATCGGCGATTGCTTGTGAAGAAGCGATGGCCGCTGTGAAACACTTGACGGTGATGTTTGACGCCTATGAGAAGGAGCATGAGTATGCGACTTCAACGGCGGCGATTCACGCCATGGAGTGGACGGAGGTGGTGATGTAGAGGAGACTTCTCCGGCGAGTTTGCTGCGACCGCTGCGATTGTTGTTCCACGTCAGATGTGTTAACGAGAAGTTGTGTAGAAGTTGTAATTTCGCTGGTGCCGGCGACGCCATATCGATCAACAGCTTTTGGTTACAATCAGAGACTTATTCGATTGATCATCCAAAAAAAACTTATTGAGTGATGAGAATTAAAGAAAAACCAACAAAGGAATCGAAATTCCTAATTCCTTTCACGGAGTGTGATCGAAACTAAATGGGTGTGATATTGCTGCAATTTTCGAGATTCGATGAATGAGAAAAAAAAAATTGAGAGATTAGATATATGAGAGAAGAATTGTGGCCAAGGTTTTGAAGAAGTTCAAGGTTTTATTGAAGGAGAAAGCCTTGTTTTGGCATTCTTTATTGAACAAATCGCATGACATAATTTATAACTTATATTTCTTAGGCTTTTATTTTTAGAAATTCAAATATATATTTATTGTTGATATTAACGTGACAAATTTAATAAATAAAATTACGCATTTTAAATATAGATTTCATAAGTGTGAATATGAATTGGGGTATTGGCTCATGTCTATTAAAGTTTGAGGAAGACCAAATAACCATTTTTGGTACACCCCATGAAATAAAATAACAGGGTTGTCAAAAAAAAATTATAATATATAATAATTTATGTTATGTATGGTTAAAAAAAATATTATATATAGATTTCAAGTTTTCAAATAAAAAAATAAGGTGTCAGGCATATATGATACACCTATAGTCATACCAAATCCAAACAGATGCTAGTACACTAGATGTCTTAAATTAGTATCACTATTCAACATATTTCACAATTGATAAATTAAAATCTCAATTACCACTTGCAACAAACACAAAACAAAACGTTATGGAGATATTACACCTTCACTATTCAACAATGATTGCGGTACATCTATATGTGCTTTAAAGGTTAGATCCGTATCACTATTCAACAAATTGTTGTTTTTTTAACCACAATTTAATCTACTTTTATTCTGAACATAAAATGTCCCAATAAAACTAAATTCAAACAAAATTTGAAGAAGTTGATAATTAATACAGTCGGTAGTCAACGGATTTAGTGGTACTACCACCATACATGTTGTAATTACATGGTAATAATTTAAATTTTGGAAAATTGAGCAAATGCTTTTTAATGGTACTTTAAAAAAATAACCATAAAACAAAAAAAAATGGAAAATGATCATTCCAATGACCTTTTTTCGAACCCGTATTTTGTAATCGGTAATGGGTATAGGGACCACACCGATAATGTGTCTCCCTATAAATAACATTTCGAACCCATTTCATACTTCATTTCGGAAAGCATTTTGAACACCAATCCAACTGAAAGAATGTTTTCTTCTAACAATGAAGAGGACATTTTTTATATGTATGTTTCCATTATCTTTATAATTATATGTTTTTATTTAAGATTATATGTTTAATATATATATATATATATATATATATATATATATATATATATATATATATATTTTTTGTGTGATTTGATGCGATTACATAGGTATTCTTTGTTTTTCTTCGATTTTAGTGGTTTTTAGGTTATTGTAGGATTGCATGTGGATATATGTATGCACTATATCAACAAGTCTTAAAAATATCATGATTCTAAGTACGACTTCGGAAACAAATATCTTGTTCGGAAGATGTAGAACACATCCAGAATGCATAGAACTGATTCGGAATGTTGACCCAAAATTCTCTTCCGGGATGTCCTCTGGAACATATATATGAGTTGGATTAGATGTCTAAGCCCATAATTATTATTGGTATGTACTCGACCCGAGAGTAGCATGGTCCATTTGG